GCACTCAGAAAACATATATCAGAAGTTTAAACTAATATTGTTTAAAACGCATGATTTCAGCGCGATAAACATGGTAATCAGAACCAAAACAGAAGTTTTTAGCAGGTACTAGCTGTAATGGCGCAGCTCTATTCTGGAAAAGGGGGCGGGGAGCAGAAGCTTCATTTGCATTTAAAGAGACAGACATGAAAAAGCGGTGTTTCTGCTTCCGCTCAAAATAGGCATTTTCAAAATTATATAACAATTGATCTGTGGGGTATTTTGAGCTGAAACGCAGACACATTCTGGGGACACCAGAGACTTATAGAACTTAGTTTAGTAGCCTACTCACATGCTGTGACAGCCGCTTTCTGAACGTGTGCACTCAGAAAACATATATCAGAAGTTTAAACTAATATTGTTTAAAACGCATGATTTCAGCGCGATAAACATGGTAATCAGAACCAAAACAGAAGTTTTTAGCAGGTACTAGCTGTAATGGCGCAGCTCTATTCTGGAAAAGGGGGCGGGGAGCAGAAGCTTCATTTGCATTTAAAGAGACAGACATGAAAAAGCGGTGTTTCTGCTTCCGCTCAAAATAGGCATTTTCAAAATTATATAACAATTGATCTGTGGGGTATTTTGAGCTGAAACGCAGACACATTCTGGGGACACCAGAGACTTATATTACATATTGTAAAAAGGGGCATAATATGTCTCCTTTAAAATGAGCCTCGTGAGAGGATTGTCTCGACCACCAGATAGCTCGAAATGAAGAGATTATTTAAGAAAATGTGAATAAAGCAGCGGTGAGAAAGAAAGAAAGAAAGAAAGAAAGAAAAAGTAAGTGCAGTCGCTGAAGCTTATTGAGTCACTCGGACAGTATAGGTTAAGAGGAACTCAAGTGACCTAGACTCATAATGCTGCAGTTTAGTTCTTGCATTAATTATGATAGAGCCTTGTTATAGCAACATACCGCATTTGTTTCCAGTGACCGTCTGTTTGTTTTTGGAATATTAAAATGATCTGTTTAGATTCATCTCGTCAAGCAAGTCGAATTCTTTTTAATATCTTTTTTTATATAAAAATGACAACAAATAACGTCTATAATAGTGATAATGACAGCACGTTACATTTTAGTCCGATGCTGAGAGAAGCGCACTAGCAGCCCACTGTTGCTATGGTTACCTCCTTATATTAACCCTTTCGCGATCATTTGTGTGCAGCTAGGTGAAAATACACGCTACTTTGGTAACTTTTGTGGTTACTTAAGTGTTTAAACCCCTGTTATAAAAGTACTTATTTGTCAAACAAAATCTTATGTACTTTTATGAGGGTCAGACCTCCCTCCCTATAAATCACACCCCTATCTGTATCATGTTAGTTGGTATTTTTAGAATAGATTTTGATTAATCAGCTGTCAAGAAACCGCAATAATGAGAGGCTAATGAGTGTCTTCCTCACGTTGTCGAGCACGGGCGCTATTGCGCCAGACAACACAGAGAGGACAAAATAACACAGGGATAAAACTACAGCAGAATAGTTGAGATATATACCAGAGTCCAGTGCGTATTATCATGCCTACGTTGCAAATTGGTCATCGTTACTAAAAATATGCACGGCTGACAAGGTGTGGTGATTTCTGGAGAGATTATTAGCTATTAAGGTTATTTAAAGAACTTGTAAGGTTTGATGTGTCACCTCTATTTTAAAACAAACCACAGGTAATAATGCAATGTCACAATTAAACATAGGCTAGGCTACATAAATGAGATTAACGAAAGCTACAATAGCTTTGCGCAAGGTGCATAGTTTTGGCTAACACCACGGGGTTTGGACATTAAATGGTATGCTTTTAATTACCTTGGAGTAGCACGAAAACAAATCACCCGTGCAAAAAAAAAATTGTTGCCATTTGAACATTATAGCCTACCACAACTAAGGTTCCAACCATAGATTACATTAAAGAACCTTTATTTTTAGAGCGTAACGTAGAACCTTTTTGTAAGGGCAGTAGGCCTAAATATGCAACCTACATCTATTTAAGCTCAAATGTACAATGCTCGTGATATCTCTGATGGACTTAATGAGTTTTAAAACATTTTAAACTTTAGAATTCACTATTACAACTAAATATTTAATTCTACTGTATACACGCGCATTTTAAAGCCCATGCTCAAACAACAATTGCTTTAAATATTTTACTAGGGTGTGTCAGAGGGGCGTTGTATAACTTCAAAACTAATACATAACTTTACAAAAACTTGTCAAATAACTTGCTGGAAAACAAAAAAAAAACTATTTCAAAATTATTGAGATAGATATAGATTTACACCATTTTAAACTTTAGAATTCACTATTACAACTAAATATTTAATTCTACTGTATACACGCGCATTTTAAAGCCCATGCTCAAACAACAATTGCTTTAAATATTTTACTAGGGTGTGTCAGAGGGGCGTTGTATAACTTCAAAACTAATACATAACTTTACAAAAACTTGTCAAATAACTTGCTGGAAAACAAAAAAAAAATATTTCAAAATTATTGAGATATAGATTTACATTGATATATTAAAATGTTTATTTCAGTTGGGTTTCTGATTACCAGGTTAGTTTTGTCTTTGAAATCTAGCACTGACCAAGATGCTGTGCGTCTGGTGACAATAAACAAAGACGGTCGCCGTGATTTTGCCAAGACAGACATGTTCCTGGAACATCTATAAAATACAAAAATACAGACTTAACCCAATCCCCACCCCTAAACCTAACCTTACCCATAATTTATTCCTAAAAGCAGAGGGAAATGATAGCTGATTAACAAGGGTGTAGAAGCACCTCATCCTGATCGTAAGCCTAAAACTGACATTTCCTGAAAAGTTAACTCTCAATTCTGATTGGTTGATTGGAATGATGTTGATCCAGGAACATGTTGTACTTGGTGAAATCACGTTCACCAAACAAAGACCGTGCTGGTTAGATTATGGTACACCTCCATGTGAGGTGTGTGTGTGTGTGCGCACAGAAAGGGCACGGTGTGTGTAACGCGTACGGAGTGCTTTTGCGTGTGACGACTCAGCGATGTGTCAAACACAGTCGTGCCTTTGCTACAAGTCGGGGGAGTCGATGCGTGCGCAGCTATAAGTCCACTCAAGCGATAACATGCTGCGCGCGCCCGGTCTCATGGTGTTTGGTCCAGTTAACGTGATGTGCAAACGTGACGAAAACTCTCACTTATGCAGAGACACTGTTATTATCCGTGTCCGCGATAGTCAAAACAGCGAGCACAAAAATGCAAACACTTGCCATAAAGATACAGTCCGAAATAAGAGGCAACATGCGTGCTCAGTTCACAACCTCAACCACACAGTGAATCATCTACATTTATGTTTTCCACCCGCTTGTCACGTGTATAGAGTCACGCCGTGTTGTTATACAGGTGAGAACGATTAATCATACCAGCAATAAGGCGCCAGTGATTCGCGTGAATGCAACTAGTGGCTTGTGCAGTGCCATGGTCAGTATAATTGATGCTACGGATGTGACTCCTTTTATTGCTGCGAGATGCTCCTTTTTTTTTTAAGCAGCACGGTTTTGTTCTTAGGCACGTGCCTGCTGGAGCCGCAAAAGAGGATAATGGTCTTCCAAAAGCTGGTGAGCTGTTCTCTAAGGGAGGCGCTCTATCTGGGACACAGTGGAAACTTATTTTGATTTATTTTGAAAATAAACTTGAAATAAATTCAAAAGCTGAAAAGGATTAACAACGTGCCAAAATAACCTTCTAAAACACACGACTTTAGGACATTAGGATTTTGTGCATCCTAAAAGCCTGTAACTACATACTATACTATACACACACACACACACACATATATATATATATATATATATATATATATATATATATATATATATATAT